GGAGCCGTTTGAGCGATAGCACCAGGAATCGATTGACCAAGAACAGTGCTTATCGATATGTGAAGAAAAGTAAATAATAATTCAATTTGTTTAAGATTCATTTCAGGACTTGAGAGAAAGTGAGTTTATTTTTGATTTTTAAACTATTTGTCGTTCCATAAAAAAAAAAAAAAAAAAAAAAAAAAACAACAAAGAAAAAGTATATATTATTACTTTAAATCCTGACAGAATCTTTATATAAAAAGAATCTATTTACAGGCAGACAGAAAGAATTTTTTAATGTGTAAAGAAAAAAAAAAAGGAATGACAAAAAACAATTATTAAAATATTCAAGAAAGGTGTATATCTAATACTTTTCATAATATTAACATTTAATTTATTTAAATTCCAAAACAGAATTCATATAATAATCGTTTGTTACAGTAATATAAACAATTGTTACCATGTTTTACCAACATCCAAGAAAAATTTCTTTATGTAAATAAATTGTTTCGCTAAATAGTATTACAAAATAAGCAAAGAAATTTTCAAATAAAAATAATTGCGAAACCAACAAGTACAAATTTATCGATAAAAATTTAGTATGTATAAATCATTATAAAAAAATATTACTGGTATGTATTTTTTTAAAGTACTGTATGTACTGTACAGTATATCAAAAAATTGGCCAAGAAAATTTACAAAAACGCCTGCAAGATGGGAATATTCTTTGGGTTTGTGCAAATTCAATCAATTCTTAGAAAAACATACTGTATGAATGAACAGCTAGATTAGAAGCTACGTAGGATGCTAGGAAGCTATGCAAATGTAATTCAATAGGAAATTTATATGATTTTTTTCGCATCAATTCATTTTTTTACTAAGAATTCCTTTTAAATATTTGGATGAAATGTTACAGACCGGGATGTTTACGTAGTAAACTTATTATTTGTTATGAATCACCAACAATGACACAAAACGCGATCAAATAAAATTCATAGAAATAAGTATTGTCTTTGAAATTGTTATTTAATGAACCCAAAATGAGTTTCATTAATAAAGTAGTTCTTTTCAGGTAATATTGAAGGATTACAAGATGAAAAATTAAAATATAAAATTTGGTGTACTGTACTTTGACATACGTACTATCGGAGGCTATCAACACTACCTCCACTCAAAAGAAACAAGGCGACAGCGTCGCTACAGAAACCAAGACGCAGCACAACGTGACGCTACTTTTAAAGAGAGGCGGGATTTTATTTGGCACGGTCAAGGCAGTAGCGCAACGTTAACGAGGTAAGTGTTTTATTTATTTTATTAATTGATCGTTCAAAATCTGTCTCCTACATCTTCTCAAATTTACATTCTTTTTATACAACTTTTTCGGAAACACAGAAAAGAAACAAAAGAAAGAAAAAGAACTAAAACGAAGGTTTCACTTCGTTATTTTCAATGAACAACCTTAAAATTTATCATGGCGTTGAGACACGGCCACGAAACGAACTTATCCCGATATGGTTAATTTAACCCATTGACATCTCTAAGCCGCATTTTGACAATCGGGTTAATTATCCAACAATGCCTTTTCGGGTTTAACACGAATTTGCTGCATGTGGGTCTGGATCGGTTCTTGGGCTTCGCGAATCACTTTGAGGCACGATTCCTTCTTTCTTTGATATGATATGCCGATTTTGCCTCTGACAGTACGTAGCAAAAAAATAAGATTAAATTTCGTGTCCCTTGTAACCGATGTTATTTTATGAAATTAAAAAAAAATGAGTTTGTTTCTTGTAGTAACTTGTATTTTTGTATTTTGTCTTTGTGACTTCCCAAAGCACTTATATATTCGGTTGAATATAACAATATAAACCTAGGCAGATATATTTCTTGAATCACATTTTAGGAATGTTAATCGGTCACGCAACAATTGTCAGCCGATTTTGAGCAAGTTTTATAAAAAAAAAATTGGAACTTTTAACAAGTATACTTTAGCCAATAAGTAAAGTTACTGAAAGTAATTTTTTTATTACCGTTTTTAATAGAAATTTGTCATGTTGAAATGGTGATCTTGTCGAAAATTTCTGCGAAGTTCCTACGTACCCCATTTATGTGTCTCTATCTCACGTTACTATTTCCAATCTTTTGGATATTTCCGATGTGCTTTGTACGTACTGAATGGATCCAATTTGTTTCAGATTTAGATATAAGTCGTTGCCTAAACTTATAATAACTTATTTTACATAGACTTTCTATTTTATATGTTAGGTGGAATAATGATTACATCGAACTCTTTAGTTAAAATTTTAATGGTTTTCTGCGAATCTCGTTTTGTATACAGTACGTATAATACCATGTTACCATGTGAACGGAGTCCTAATGATCTATTGAAACAGAGTAGCCGTAGAATATCGCCATAGAAACTAGGTGCAGCTTTTCCGAAAAGATTTCGGCATTGATTTTTTGGTAGAAATAGAGCCACAAGCCGTAATTTATACCGCAACTCAAAATCAAAGCCAAAACCTAAATTAAAAGCCGTAATTTAAATATATACGTGGTATATAGAAACTAATTGCGGCTTGCCGAGAATATTCATTATCGATTTTTTTTTTTTAGTAGCGATATTGTTTAAAATCTTTAAAATTTTCGGAGAATCAAGAAATCTGCAAAGCGCCATAATGAAAAAAATATATATATATCACGTAATAAATATCCTTTACAATACTAGAAATCAACTCAAATAAAATAAAAATTAAGGATATTAAATATTTATGAACATAAATAAATAATTATTAAACAAATCGATTAATAAATGTTTTTTTTACATTTTATAACTAAATTAATGCGAATAAAATAAAATTAGAGTAGCAAATATTTAAGAACTGGGTAAATTAGCATATTTACACTTACCTCCAAATTAAATAAAATCGAGAATAGTAAATATTTAAGAATTTTATCCTTTTTCGCCTATGCGATTTATCGCTACCTCTGATAGTTCCTGATCGTGTAACGTGAAAATCAAAACAAACCCTTTGCGCGTTAGTTTAGAGTTAGGGTCAGGGCTACATTAGGGTTAGGAAGAGCAATAGCAAAATGCCTCTAACCCAAAATTTTGCAAGGAATTTTTTTTACATCGATTAATAAATATCTTTTACACGTGATTTGGCAGGCGTATAGTTAAAAATAAGTTATTATAGTGTTGGAATATAAATTAGTGATCATTATAAGTCATTTCTTTCTTTTCTTTTATTATTTATTTATTTATTATCTTTTATTTTTATTATTATTTAGCCTTTTCATTATTTCAATTACACTTTATATAGTTATTTGTTTGTTAGACTGCTCATACCTTTATTTTCGTTTAAGAATTGTAATAATCTATGTAAACATTAGAGCGAGCAGTTGGGGCTAATTGCTTAAGCTAGAGCTTGTACCCGCCTAAAAATTTATGCTCCGGTTTACTCACCCGTTATGACAGTATTAACCGGGTCACAACCTGGGTACTTCAAATGATTCGAGGTAACCCGGTGAACCGGTTACCCGCTAGTTAATACTAATTTATGTTATTTATGTCCTTTTTCGTGAACTTCCGGAATATTTTAACGTTCATTGATATTCTACATCATAACTTTTCCCTATCTCTCACCATTCTTATTTAACCCGATACCGGATCAACCGGTTAAGCATAATTTATTTCGGGATATTGTCAAAATAACGGTTCCCGGGTTGTCTGATAAACGGGTACAAGCTCTAGCTTAAGCCATAACGATAAATTATAGAAACGATAAACATAGAGGTGAGCAGTGTGGCTTTGTACTACGTGAGGCTTAACCACGACTGCGCTTAGCGTTAAAAGGTAAATTAGCATTAGTATAGTCTTCCCCAAAGAATGAATTTTGTATAAATATGGGTCCTCCTCACTCTTCCGAAAAGGAAGTTATAAAGTTATGAATTAAATTATCTATTAATAAAATAATCACTTCTAATTAAATAATCGATTCCTCACCACGTTTTTCTCTTTATTTATTAAAGAATACGCTGGGTCTCTTAATTAACATAAAGGAAGTAAGCATTGAGGCCGAATAGACCTTTCACTGAGTAACTAAGAGCCGTATTCTTGACGAGTTATATAGGAAGTAACATCACGAATAATATCATTGTTTGGATTATTGGACGATTTAGATATCACGAGTAACGATACACTGTAGGATTGTTAATAGGATCAATCATTATCAGGACATTACGATTGTTTATTTATTGGTATTGTGATCAACGTTTGGATCACATTGAAGTTATTAGTTTTATTATAGTACGTTTAATAGTAACGCCACCCTTATAGATATCATATTATTCGGACCCACCCTTAAATTATCATCCCTTCCGCTTAACAACCATCGACCTAAATATAAATACCCCACCGATACTGTTTACCTTATAGTAATTAGATAGGAGCTAAACCGGATATAATTAATCGCTCCCAATTTACAATAATAACAATAGGCCGGTTTCATTAAACCCGTTTTAAGCCAAATATGTATAAATATAAAAAAAGTACTTTTATCGTATATATGTTGTAATACTCTAATTTTTGCTTTAGCGTTAGTATATCGATATTTTGTGATGAAAATTTTAGAAAAACTGGTTTTTTTGATATCAGATATCAAGATAAATAATATTTGTAACGGGAAATATTTTTACATACCATGCATGCATGAAAAATTTACTTTATCGATATACGTATTTATTTATAAACCGGTTTTTAAGTTATAAGCTTATTTTATGTCTAATACGTATCAATCAGAAATGTACGATAAAACATCATACGTAGCTGCCATGACGTTTACCGTAGAGTTACAATTTCTGATTGATATTAAGATTAGCATAAGTTAGCAATAAAGTGATTCTACGTATAGTGACATCATAATCTGCGCCTTTTTGCAAACTACAATAAAGTTCACCTTTTTGCAAACTACAATAAAGTTTATATTCATCACGTTCACACTTTTAAAAAGTTTATTAACGTAATGAAAAAAAATAAAACCGATCAAGAAAAAATTGGTTACCTTTTAAATGAACATATAAAATATTTAAGACGTTATTTAAAACGTCTTGACTTGAAACGCCTAGAACTTGGTGAATGTTATCTTCAAGAAGAAAATGTTTTACTAAAGGATCAAATAAGAATTAAGGTAATGTTTTAACAATAGACTTTTTTTGATCTGATGTTGTTGTTTTTTTTAAAGGTGATAAGAAAAACACTTGAAAACAATTGGGTTTGATTTTATTGATACTAAAAAAAACCACTTTTTTAATTACAACTATAAAGGATTTTGAATTAATGAAAGCCTTACAGGAAAACATTAAATTTGAAACTGATAATCTTAGGTTAATAATAATAATCGAAAGATTTCAAAATGGAAAAAACGGAGGCATATACGACGAAAACAAATGAAGAAATGTAGTATCTATTAAATTTTTAATAGTGTCATAATTTTTCAAATGTAATTATGTAATAGATGTCTTTCTTGCTTGATTAGAAAGATATTTTCTCAATACGTTCTTTGTGCTACGTATGAAATATGTTCTTTAAAATGTAGCATATTTGTGGGTTCCATGGTTTAATTGGCAGAATCATTGTTGGTTTTTGCTTTCTTTCTCAATTAACTCTAAATAACTTTTTATCGTTTCATAATACATTAATACATTGGATAATCACATTACGCAGATAATTCATATATCACGTCGTACTAATAATTTGATTTCTTTTAAAACAATAATATAAAAAAAATAATGACGATTTTTTTACAAAATCGAATTGAAAAAAAAAACTTTTTCAAGTGTCGGGAAAATAAAAAAAAAATAAAAAAATAGATCAAAACATGATTGAATCAAAAAAAAAAATTAAATATCATCATCTTCATTATTAGCATTAAAATTTTTAATACAAGTTTCGGATTTATCTTTATTCTTTTTTTTTTTTTTTGATTCCTTTTTTTTCTTGATCGGATTTTGCATAGTTATGAAATCTAAACGATTTATTTACTGGAAAAACACTGAATAGCGGATTTTCATAATATTCGACAGTATATCTATTAGGATGAATAAACGTATAGAAACTATTCTCCCATTCGGAATCAATATTATTTCCTAATTCATCTTTACATTTGACACTATCAGGAACTTTGCATTTTTCATCATTGAGATTTTTAAAATATATAGTAGCTCGAGGATTTTTATCACCTGGAAAATGGAGTGTTTTAACATTTTTTTTCAGAATCAAATTTTAAAGAAATGGATAATGCCATTCTATAAAATATTTAATTAATTAGAGAAATGATAATAAAAAAAAAAATTATATTTTATCTTACCCTTCAAATGATAAAGATTCGTTTTGTGAAGAATATTTTTTTGAACATTTTGTTTTAAAATTTTATAATTAATAAATTTATTTTGTAAATATTTTTTTTTAATTTGTATAAATTTGAATGTTTTTATAATTTTGGATTGATTCGGAATTTGATATCAGATTTTATCCGAAGAAATAATGATTTGATTATTTGTTTTATAATTTCTAGAATTAAAATTTAATAATTAAATTTTAATTTACAAACCTAATTGATTTTCATAATAATATTTGGTGCAAATCGAGTATCGTTACAATCGAATTTTTTTTTTTTTTAATATTAAAAAAACAAATGTATCGAATTTTATCCGGACAGTCTACGAACACGTTGAAAAAGTGAGAATTGGTTCTAGGTTAGAACTCGTCTGGAGGTTTTGTTACACTGAGGTTCGTGTTCGAATAATATATACAAATATACCGAGATAATCAAAAATCCAACTAAGAGGTAACCCTAGCTTGGATAAGGCTTGAAAGAGGCGAGGATTAACTTGGTCCGAGGTTAGGGTTACTTGGGTAGGTATTTAGATTATTGGAGTTGGGTCTATGGATTGTCTTGGTCACGTTTATCGGAAGTCACGATTTGGTCACGATTTGGTTACGATTTGGGTATCACGGGGTTTAAAAATTATTGGCGGGTCGATTTAACAATTACGATATTAGATCAATTGTTTAATCAAATTACAGGTATTATAAAAGAGTATGCGATATAAGAATTCGGGCACTTTTATTCTAACAAAAAAAAAGACTTGGTAACAACGAGAAAATAATTCGGGACAGAATTCAACGAGAAATTATCACGGGGACAAGATAAAAAAGATTTACGATTCAATAAAACGATTTACAACAATTCAAAGGGAAAATTATTTAAAGATATACACTTCTTTTCAAGACTATTCAAGACTCAGAAGGTTTTACTTTTTCGAACTCTGAGTTAATTTTTATTCAAGGTAATTTGCATTGCTTATATACACTTTCTTTACATATAATGGACTAACGAGAATTCTTATTCTTCTAGCTATTCTAATTTTCTTGTAATTCTTATTTTTCTCGCTATTACTATTTTTCTCGCTATTCTAATTTTCTTATTTTTTCTAGAATTTTGAGAATAGCAGGAATTCCAGGAATTCCAGAAATTCGTGATGCGACGATCTTTACCCTAAACTATTCTAGCCTGAAAACAAATAATACTAACAAACTAATAAAAAATAATAATAATAATATATAAAAAAAGAAATAGGTCGATTGGTGCTCCGGAGCCTTTCACAACGTACTAATTCACATGATTTTGCACTAGGTGATAGGCAAATCTCGGATTTTCAAAATATCCCACGTGAGATGCAGGATCCGCGTGAGATACACAGAATACGCGGGATTGAAATGATCAATTGCTGATTTTTTAAATTTTTTATAAATAATATACAGACTGTGTGGGGGGTTAAATGTAAATGCAAAATTTGTTGTTCTGAATTGTTTTTTTTTTTTTTTTTTAATTTTGACCTTGTGGTCAAGGTGAGGTCTTGTTTTTATCTTTATTAATAATTATATAG